TAAAAATCGCCGTATGACAAGAGGTTAAAACACTGCAGACAGTTTTCAGGTGTTTCATCGTGTTTGTAACATTTTGTTTCTGTTTTAGAGAAAACAAGTGGAACGCGGACCGTTGCCCCCAGATTTAGGAAAAAAGAATCTGCTGACCTTCGTTACACCTGTACTCTACGACACGCCAAAATGGGGCCGTAATTTCGGCGATTGTATCAAACAGCCACAGAAAATGGCGAAACCCGGTGACACGGTCACAGCTGTTTTCGTAAGTATCGACCGATAGGTTTTCCCTCTATCATGGAACATTCGGGGCGACGACCGTGACCCACTGCGTTCGAGACGATCCCGGTTATGCAAATCCGCTCACCTAATCTCGATTATCCTGAAACTCGGTAGCGGCTCGCTGCGGCGATTCTGTATCGCCGATGAAAATCAGCGATTTGTATTCGCGGTGCAAGTATGAACAGTGCATCGGCTGATGGAAATATCGTGTCGATCGATGGAAATCGAGAAATAAATTCGCTCTCACGCGATGATACTAACCTCGATCGTAAAGTGGTCTAAAATGTTTTGCATCCTTTCAGAGAATTTTTATTCAGCTTTCGTCTTTTCCGGATAATGAAAGTCGCAACGTCGTGTATTTATTAGTTTTTTCCAATTTATTTATGTGAAACTGATGTTGCAGAGAATAGCATAATAGCGAAATTAGTGGTATCAGATATTTATTAATTTATTCGTGACTTCTTATACAAATTAAAATTGGGAACACAAGTTTTCAAAACAGCAACCGGTCCTTTATTAATCTGACACTTGATGTTTGAATGCAAAATGGCTCGGTGCTTTTGTAAATACGAGTGCAATGAACTTAGAGATCGATATTGGCAATATCAGCCATTTAATAATTTATTCATTTATTTCTCTCTCGATATCTGCTACAAAATAAAATTCGAAACATTTGGTTTCTGTAGCGACGACAAGTTGGTCAGCCATCAGTTTGCCTCCGAACCATGGATGCAAAATAAATCGATGCGTCTGTAAGAGTTTAGTGAACGAAATCTATTTCGAACATAGTAAAATTCGCACCACCGGTCGATCGTTGATTCAGCCCGAAGTATTTCACGCGAGGCAAGCAATCTAAATAGAAAGCAGAAAAATAATATTTATTTTGCCCGCTGGAATTCGCACTGCCGCGCGGTGCATTCCTAACACTGGGGCGCGGTGCATTCCTAAATTTAGCGTGCTCAATAAATTTCCCGTGAAAAAGAAATGTCGACCACTGAAATTCTATTTTAGTATTATTTGATGAGTAAATATTCGCGTCCGTTTCGCGCAGATTTCCGGTCATCCGCGTAACAATTTGATGACGGAGAACACGTTCCTGACGGTCGAGAGGCTGACGAACGACGAGGTGTGGGTGCCCGTTGCAACAGATGCCAACTGGGAGACCAAGTACGTAAATTCCAACTTTTAACGGCAATTTATATTCATGGTATCGGCGCAGCCATCAATATTAATGCATTTCCTCCGACCGGGCACGCTCATGCAAATGTTGAAGAAAATATCAGCCGTTCGTATCTCATCCTTTCTTACGAACTCATTTACTTCGAGATCTCGTACGGTTATTTTCCGTAAACCATATACTGGGTTTGACCTAACGGTTAAACCATTTTTTAGGCGTTTACATTAATATGGAAAACAAGATGTTCGGTATAAAAGTTAATGAGTACTTTGAGGAGAACAAAACGTAATAATAGAAATTTTGAAACATTTTTATGTCCGATAAGAAGCTCGGGTTCATCTTGACTTCATTTAAATAGCACTACGGTAAAGTCTCCCTAATTGACGTTCAGATTGTGCACGAAAATGGGCGATTTGGGAAGAGGTGACACGATTATTCGAGCCTTGGGGTTAGTTTTCATAGTTTCTGATTGTCAACAATTATAAAAACGAGCTGCCAAATCCTCTTCCCAAATTGTCCAATTGGAGAGACATTATTGTAACTGAGAAAATTATTTTCTTATACACTAATGAAACGTACGAGTAACTCCAGAGTCAAGGACGAGCTGGATTTTATAATAATAAATAATTTCGAGCCGAATGCAGACAGTAAAAGTCACTTTGTAGTCGATTATTCGCTTTTTTGTCAGCTATAACGTTATAAAATTAAAAATACATAGCGCTATTTTAAATAATCAAGGCGATCCGAGTATTTTATCGAATAAAAAATCTTTCGAAATTTTTATTATTGCACTTTATATTTTTTTCAAAGCACTCATTAACTTTTGCATTGCTCTAACACCTTCAGTTTTTGAGAAAGATTAAGTTTTGTAAAATAACACTAAGAAGAGGCATTGTGTAAAAACTAACAACATTAGACAGTTCGAAATTGTCTTAAAAGATAGAGGAGAGTCTCCTAAACATACCAGTATACTGAGTTTTTGATTAGTTTTGTTTGAAGCGGTTGTAAATGTCCATTAAATGTTAAAAAGAGTCGTAACGAGCATCTTTTATTCTATATTTTCGTAATTTTACGAGAAGTTTTTCGTCTGGCAAGAATTTACTACACGTCATCGGATTCTGTTTAACATTTTTGAAGAGGATACCAACCAATTTCCGCGTCGGAACGATGCACGGCGAACTGTAAACACGTTTATCGTATCCAAACTTATTTTAGTGTTATTATCATAACAGTCATAATATGGTATAATAGATCATTGAATTCGCCTCTGCACCAGCTATAATATTATCAAGTCAAAAATATGTATTAGTATTAAACAAAGTCGAAATGACTTCAATTGGTTGTAATCAAGATTTCGTTTTCGAAATTTTATATACTAAAATTTGTAGAAAAATGAATGCCGATAAACTTTTTTGGAGAGGAATGTAAATACAAAGGCGCCTTCTTATCGCGCGAGAACTATACCTTAACCTTTTGCAAATGGCGGTATTAAATCAACCTAGCCAAGAATTGACTTACACCGTTTGTGATTTAAATGGATCAATTGTTAATGTAATATTTCATTCGGTTCAACATTTTCTTAGATAAAATTAAATTTCCTTGCCAAAGATCATTATTCGAAATTTCTACAGTTGAAAGAGCGACTCTTTAAAATGCAAGGTGGCATTATAAAATTACTATACTGTTACAATGAACAATCCATTTAAAATGTGTACAAATCTTTTTAAACACTTTCTTATAGAAACCGATTCGCTTTTGCAGGAATTTAAACATGAGTTTTGTATGAATATGAACAAATTCTTAATTGCTAAATAATAGTAAAAAAATAATGCATGTTCAGCCTCATTTGTTGTGTAGAGTGCGATGAAACGTTTAGAAATATTTTTTATATAATTAGATCAGTTATTTAGTTAAATTTTCGCAATACACTTCAATAGTTCGTTTTGTCTGCTTTTATGGAGGAATATTATAGACGATAAGAACAATGAATTTTAGGAATTATATTTTTTAATTAATTGATTCGACTGGAACGGAGAACTCTCTGGTGGTAATAAAATATTGAGTGAATCCAATTTCATACGATTGACACAGATTCGAATGGAAGAGGACGTCGGTGGTTCTCGGCTCGAGTCAGGTGACAATTACGTGGCAAGTCCCGGAGGACGTCAAACAGGGTGAATATCGTATTAGGCACAACGGATATTACCGCTACATCCTCGGCGGTATTTTTCCTTACTACGGTGTATCGAACCATTTCCAGGTAAATTGAAAATATTGCACCCTATTTTCATCCCTAAAACGATTCCTCGTCAATACTTATTGCTCCACGATCTACGAATCACGTAGATCGTAGTTTCAGGACGAACGCCCGATACATTAAGCTGTGCATTACCCTGCAATTTTACACACGTAACTCGCTTGAAAATATTTAGAACTCAGAAAATTTAATCGATACAAAAATCTAGAAGATTTATTCACTATCAAATAATTTATATGCAAACTGTAGCCTAGACGATTCAATAAATTATGTTAGAAAGATTATAATTTGAAATTTACGTAGACTGTAATTTTAAACAAAATAAATTATTTATGAGACAGACTACAATTTGAAAAGGAGTACAATTCAACATTTGACTGGAAACATATGATGAATTAAAACGTACTATTCATAGATTAAAAAAAAATTGCAATTAAAAATTTTGTTTCAGAAAGTGATTAATTTATTCGGACACAGACTTTGACGATATATCTATTTTAAAAATGTAACAGATTCCATACATTTTATAAAAATCATTTCAGGTGGTAGTTCCCGAGTTGAATCTCACTGGAAGACGGTTTTACGAATAACCATGGTGATTCTGCAGCGAAACCAAATGCTTACGTTTAATTCCTTGCTGGATTAGGATTGATTCAGCCGCGGAGGCCATACAAGAAGAGTGTTAACTCGCAATTTTTCTATTGTACAGTGTTGTATATTGATCTCCTTGTTATTTTCGATCTATCGATCGTATTCGATGGCGTATTTTTTAAAAGAAAAATATGTTCACAAAAATTGTGATGATACTGTCAAGTTATAATAAATAGTAACCTATTATAATCTACAATTTATCCTGAAATAATAATCCTGATCAATCCTCGCAAACATTTTTCCAATCTCTAGCTATTAACTACAATTATTAATGATCTTTGAGAGCTTTACATTTGAAATTACTTTTAAAAAATTGATAAATATTTCCTGAGTAAATCATAGAATTCAGTCCTTAAAATCATCCTACGATATTCAATAAAAGTGCATAGCTTGCCTCGACGTCCAATATAATACATACAGCTATATTGAATTTCATTTAACTGTATTACATTAATCTTGTAGAGAGGAACCAATTACCTTGCCGTGTTCGCGGACTTCAGTAGTTTCGCTACTGAAAACAACTTTATTAATTTAATTAACATTTCTGTGGAACTTAAAAGTAAATTTCAAAGATTCTTTTACCGGTATAAATTTTCCCATGAAACACATATCAAATCTTCTTTGAATATTAAGAGAAAGAGAGAGAAAAATTCTGGAACCAGTACTGTGTACCTATGATCTACAAAGAAAAATTTGTTCCTTTCTCTGAATACTGTGCTTCAATTACTGAGCACCCTACCTGAATATTGAGCCTCAATATTTATGCAGAACGAATATTTAATATTGAACTTGTTAGCTGTTGCAATCCGTTTGAAAAATGTGTAAGTTACAGTAATAACAAGTTACAGTAATAATAACTTATTAATAATAAGTTACAGTAATTTTCTTCATATTTTGTTTAAATACAACACTTTTATAAAACGTATAATTTAATAAAGAATATCAAAGTATACACATGTATCCTTCTTAACCAGTCAGCCGTTTTTGACGAGTATACCCGACGGGAAGAAATTGCAACATTTTGTGCTATGACGAATATACTCGTATACTTCGATAAATTTCATTTTCCACAAAAAGAATGAAATATACAATAANGGAACCAGTACTGTGTACCTATGATCTACAAAGAAAAATTTGTTCCTTTCTCTGAATACTGTGCTTCAATTACTGAGCACCCTACCTGAATATTGAGCCTCAATATTTATGCAGAACGAATATTTAATATTGAACTTGTTAGCTGTTGCAATCCGTTTGAAAAATGTGTAAGTTACAGTAATAACAAGTTACAGTAATAATAACTTATTAATAATAAGTTACAGTAATTTTCTTCATATTTTGTTTAAATACAACACTTTTATAAAACGTATAATTTAATAAAGAATATCAAAGTATACACATGTATCCTTCTTAACCAGTCAGCCGTTTTTGACGAGTATACCCGACGGGAAGAAATTGCAACATTTTGTGCTATGACGAATATACTCGTATACTTCGATAAATTTCATTTTCCACAAAAAGAATGAAATATACAATAAGTCATTTAAAAGTTTACACTAGAGATTTCTGCTTCAAAAAAATGTCATATTTATATTTCTTGTCCTTTTAAAGCTACGAGAGATGATTTCAAATTTGTAATTACGTATACCTATCCTGTGGCGCATAGCAAATAATCTGTTAAAATTGTAACTAAAAACAAAAATTCAAAGAAGCAATCTCTGTTTTGTTTTTTCGTAATCTTAATACGTTTCACCAATATAATTAACATTGTGATATCTCGAGAACAATTTATTTTACTAAATATTAATATCCATTTGTTCAGAATTTTCTTAAATTTTTTCATATGCTTTACAGAAAATTTCGCGAATTCGGTATCAAAAAATTGATATGACTTTTATGGTATTTTAGGAACGCCCGTCTTTTACATGTTTAATTTTAACAGATAAATAATGAATTGAACTTAAATATAAAAATGTAATACGTCTTATTCGATTATTTAATTACGCTCGAAAATAATGTATACACTCGGCAATTTGCTAACCCACAGTAACTGGTTCCCCAATCTTAATTTCGAACAATTATAATTCGACAAAAAAATGAACCGTATCAGTTTACTTGGCAATATGTCTGTATGATAATAATTCACGATCTTAGATATTAAAATCTTGCACGAATGATTGCTAAAATCCTCGATCAGTAAAATGAAAAATGGTCGGACACTCAAATGGCGTACAAAATGACGAGATAATTCGTCTCCTCGGGTTAACAGGTTCTAAAGAGAATGCGGGGGTGAGCTTTGCCGCCCGGGAAATCCTTAGCTTGATATCCCTACGCTAAACCCTATCTAAATCAGGCTTAAGGTGACTCCGAGTATCGTTACGTACCATTTTATGGCACAAAGTTCTGCCCTTCCGAGATCGTTCGTATAAATATGATCATTTTGAGGCAATATGTGAGCGCACATGCGGTCGCTCTGCATACCGATCATTCTCAAAGAGGAAACGAAACTTTCCATAGGAATAACATTCCTAGAGCAGGTTGAGATTTTTCGAAATTCGACGTGGATTATGGCGACCGCACTTTTAGACGTTGTCGGAGGCGAATGCTGTTATAGCGAGAGTAAACAGACTCATGGTAACGATGATGACTGGGAATTGGGACAATTGGACTGTCTGCTGAACCCTAATTTACCAATATAAGAGATTGTAAGGAACAATTCGTCGAGAGTCTTTATTACCCTATCATCCTTCGATTTTTAATTCGTTATCTTGCCTAATTAATTCCGCTATTTATTTTTTAACTTTACTTGTATATTTCTGCTATTTATTTTTTAACTTTACTTGTATATTACTGTATTTTTATTATCATTTCATTTATTCTATTCTTCTATTTACTTTGTTGTATTATTTCATTAGTATTTGACAATATATTGTTATCGTTTCTCATTGATTCTGTATCTTTGTTCTCTTTTGTTTTGTCATTTTACTGACATGCACAGTGATTAGACATCAATTTACATTTTTATTAATATTGAGTTGTGCATTAATAATTAGATTATTGATCAAACTGAGTACTATTTTCCAAGTACTACTTTTTACACGAGGACAGTGTTGTACGTAGGCTATATGTTACAGAAAAAATGCAATAGTACAGGGTGGTCTTCAATAATTC